GAATTTATTTTCTCACAGTTCTGGAGGCTCAAAGTCCAAATCAGGGTCTTGGCCATGTCGATTCCTTTCTTGTAAGTGATCATGGGCGTTCCTTGGTTCCTTGGATCCTCACATGGTGCCTGTGTCTGCTCCCACCCCCATGTTCATATCTGTGTGTCTAGTCTGCTCTTTTTATAACTCAGAAGTGATTAGGTTTAGAACCCACCCTGCTCAGGTATGACCTAATTAACGTAACAAAGAAACTATTTCCAAACAGTATTATATCCACAGGTACAGGGGTTAGGATTCCAACACAGTGTAATCCATCATGATATTGTAGTAGTGGAAATCGTAAAAGTGGGCAGATAGGCAATGTATGTTTGAATGTAGATCTCAAGAGGAAAATACAAAAGACTGGGATTGGAGTTTGAGGTTCGGGGAAGGCCTCATATAGCATTTGACAACTGGTGGAGGCCTTGGATGATGGGCAAGGTTTCATTCAGCTGGGAGAGGGAATGAGCACAATTTCTTGAGTGCCCACTGCACGCTAGTGTTTTGGTTTTTTTTTTTTTTTACATACATTATTTCCGACCGTAACACTGAGAGCTATTGACAGGTGAGGACTCTGTGGCTTAAAGAGGTCGAGTGGCTTGCCCATGGACATCCAGCTGGCTAGTGGGAGAGCCAAGACTCACACTCAGGTCTGTCTGGCTGTGTTGCATCAGCCCTGTCCTGTCACAGGGCGGTCAGGACAAAGATGCTGTTGGATTAGGTAGTTGGGAGTCATTCCTGGACCTGTGGAGATGGGGGCAAGGTTCATGGGTACTGAGGAAGTAGCTGTCCTCCAGGTTGAGGTCCTGTTGTGCCTCAGGGTACAAGCAGATGGTGGTAATCAGGAAGGAATACTGAGGAATGTAATACATTTAGTTGTGAAGGGATGGGGAACAGGGTTGTTTTCACAGCTACAACACCTGAGCACGGAGCAGTCTCCGCGGGAGGGTGGGGCTGCTTGTCCCCAGCCCTTTTCCCCTACTTTCATTCTGCCCTTGCCCTGATGGCTTTCCATACTATTCCCACCTCCTCAAGAGGAAGCAGGGTTCTGCTGTCCCGAAAATAAGTACATAGAGCTTCAGGAGGTATGAGTTGTCAGCACGTGCTCTCTTCGGTAAAATCACTTTCCTGCTGCTTGTTTTTCCAACTGGAAACAGGATTCATAATGCTGGCACAGAAGCTTAAAGAATGTGAGGGGACTGGAAAGTGCAGAAGGCCGTATCAATGCCCATCGCAGCTTGGGCGGATTGCTTTCAGCCGAGGACTCTCCGTCCTGCCCCGGTTGACATAGCACCCTCACTTTGAGCAGTTATATGAAGAGGTTTCCCGTTAGCACAGCAGTGCACGTGGCTGGATGTGGGGAACTTCACGTACTTCCTAAGCAGGGCCATTGAGCTGACATCTTCACAGTGATGGTTTCTCACAAGAAGTTTGTTCCTAAGTTGGAATTGCCTGAGCTGAGGAAGAAGTGAAATAGCTCATGGCCGGCTCAACTAACAAATGACTGACTGCCATCACCATTGATGAAAGTAAAGGATTTACACACACAATAAGGTCTCAAAAGGCAGCCATGGGCAGTCATAACAAGTTCAGGTCGGTTGCCACCCCCCTAGCTACTGTGTCAGCCTGGGCTGAAAGCAAGCAGAACTGTGCAGCAGAGAAATGTCCAGACCCATGAATATGGTCAGGGCTGAGAATGAGCAGGACAGGGCGGGAGGGCTGGCCAGGGTCAGTGCCGAGATCTCCACGACTGAACACAGCTGGTGGGCGTGAAGTAGAAGTGGTGGGAGAAGATGAGTCTGGCAGCTGTGCACAGGTCGTCCTTTGTCCACACCCCAGGCTGGCCACTGCCTGCAGGTCGTTCTTTGTCCACACCACAGGTTGGCCCCTGCCTGCAGGTCATCCTT